GGCGCCCCGTTGGCACCGCCAGGCGTCCGCCTGGACGAAGCGCTGACTTGGCGCAGCGCTCGCCACAGACGGCACCCCCACATGCCCTTCCGGGCCCATCGACAAAACAGACAACAAACAGACGACGCCGACCAACAGACCAACGACACAACAGACACCCGCCACCCAAACGGGCGAAGCGCGTGGGACGAACTCACTCACCCCTCCTGGGGATCCGCTGCTCCCACCAGGGAGCGCCCGCTCCAGCGAGCCAAAGGCGCGGAGGCAAGGAGGCCAAGAGGCCAGGATGCAAGGAGCCCCAGCGCTCCTCAAAATTTCACTGCCCCCCAAATCGCTTCGCGATTTAGGGGCGACGAAAACCGAGAGCGTCTGTCAAGACGACTCGAATAATACGAATAGGTTTGCGGACCTAGCTCGGCTAGCAGACCGAGTTCAGACCTCTGGATTCATCAGGCGAGCGCGCCTGATAATTCTGAATGCGATAGGTGTGCTTACCAGCTCTGTAGCTGCCATACAGCTCGAGTTAAGTACAGAAAACCGAGAGCGTCTGTCAAGACGACTCGAATAATACGAATAGGTTTACGGACCTAGCTCGGCTAGCAGACCGAGTTCAGACCTCTGGATTCAACGGGCGAACGCGCCTGATAATTCTGAAGCGATAGGCGTGCTTACCAGCTCTGTAGCTGCCGTACAGCTCGAGTTAAGAACAAAATGCCGACAACGCGTATCAAGATGACTCGAAACGGCTGTTCCCGCCGGGACGCTTTTTGGCAGTAAAATGTACCCGATCGAGCTGAGATCAAGATGGCGAGCGGGAATGAGATCGAATATGACGGAAAAATACTAGAGCTCAAACGAATTGTTGAATTTCGAGAATAAAATTTTCAACCGACCAAAAGTCAGCAAAAGGTCCGTCGATATTTTTCTTGCCAACTAGCTCTCCAGCGCTCCGGAAGTACTCTCAAGCTTCCAGCAATAACTTGCTAAGGGAAGCTCTACGAGTTACTTCGTTATCCTTTCGGCGCCTCTCGACAATCTATGCGTGTTTGCGAGGGCGCCCAGCGGACCTGAACCAAGTGCAATACACTGCGCACGTGCGACATATCTCTGCAAGCTGTGGCCGCCGCGAAACAAACCAACGAAAGTGTCAAGGATCAGTTCTGTTGGTGGCCACCCAGGCGCCCCGACAGCAGTGGCAGCGTCGCCCCAAAGGCGTACTGCGGAAGCATACTGGGGCGCTTTTCCCCCAGCTGGCAAATACCGTGCAAGCTCAGATGGTTGCGCCGTTGGCTTCGCGACGAGCCCGCTTGATCTCGCCCCGTGGCCTGCCAGTGGGCTCCGCTCCCGGATAGGAGCTGCAATCGGCAGCAGCTGCCACGGCGGCTGCGAGCAGTGCATGCGCAGGAGCGGCCCGCGCCCGCTTCGCCTCTCCAAGCACTAGAAAAGCAGCGCGGGCCTTCTCTTCGGCGGGGGCGTCCACTCGCTTCGCAGTGCGCGTCTGGTCGCCAGCACAGCCAGCGCCTGCGCTGCCCGAGGCGGAGCCCGCTTGCGCAGCGACGCCCGCTGCCAGAGATGCCGGGCGCTGGGGCTCCGATCGCCCGCCAGGCATGTGCGCTTGAGCTGCCTGCTCGCGACTGGCGCTGCTCTGGCAGTGCGACAAGAAGGCTTTGACTGCTGTTGCAAGCAGCGAATGCCGGCACGAGCTCTGCGAAATCGTCGGCTCCAATGTCGCTCAGATCCGACATGTCGATGAATCTCAAAGCCATGCTGGGCCAGAGCTCCGGAACAGAAGACACAGAGAATGTGCGCACAAGTAGCTGCGTGGACAACCGATTCTCACGTGATATGACCTCAACACAGGATTACGATGATGTTTTTCCCCTTCGCCACAGGGTCTGACTCACCAGGGCACGTCGGCTGGGAAGGACCACGGCACTTCTTGAAACCCGTCGGCGGCTAACTTACGCAGCTCTGACTTGGCTTCTGGCCGGGTCGGAGCGTCGGCCAAATTTAAATGCGATGGCACGTGCCGAAGGTGCAAATAATGATCACGCTGCGCGACTGCAAACCAAAGCTCGCCTATGAGCTCGTTCCAATCACTGGGCGCCGGCGGTAAACCGTCAACCTTTGTTACCGCCGGGGGACTCGTAGAGCTTCCTGACAACATATAATGACGAAAAAAAATGCAGAGAACGAATAGTTTTTCAGCCCAACTCGAGTATCACACCGAGTTCAGACCTCTGAATGCGACAGGCGGACGCGTCTGATGTCTCCGAATCGATTCCTGTGATTACCCGCCCTGCAGCCTCCCTACAGCCCGAGTTAAGTACAGAAAGCCGACAGCAGCTCTCAAGATGACTGGAAGAATACGAACAGTTTCGCGATTCTCGATCGGGCAGCAGACCAAGTTCAGAGCTCTGGATTCGACAGACAAGCGCGACTGATGATTCTGAATCGGTTTCTGTAACCATCAGCCCTGTAGCTGTCCTATAGCTCGAGTTTAGTACAGGAAACCGAGAGCGCCTATCAAGATGATTCGAATAATACAAATAGGTTTGCGGACCTGGCTCGGCTAGCAGACCGAGTTCAGACCTCTGGTTCGAACAGCCGAACGCGCCTGATCATTCTGAGTCGATGAGGCGTGCTTACCAGCTCTGTAGCTGTCCTATATCTCGAGTTAAGTTCAGAATACCGACAGTGCGAATCAAGATGACTCGAATAATACGAATAGGTTTGCGGACCTAGCTCGGCTAACAAACCGAGTTCAGAGCTCTGGGTTCAACAGGCGAACGCGCCTAATCATTCTACATCGATTAGCTGTGCTTACCAGCTCTGTAGCTGTCCTACAGCTCGAGTTAAGTACAAAATACCGACAACGCGTATCAAGATGACTCGAAACGGCCGATCCCGCCAGTGTGCTTTTTGGCAGTAAGAGGTACCCGATCGAGCTGAGATCAAGATGGCGAGCGGGAATAAGATCGAATATCACGGGAAAAAATACTAGAGCACAAACGAATTGTTGAATTTCGAGAACAAAATTTTCAACCGACCAAAAGTTGTGAAAAGTTCAGTTCTTTTTTTTCGAGCCAACTAGCTCTCCAGCGCGCCGGAATTACTCTTAAGCTTCCAGCAACTAGCTTAGGGAAGCTCAACGAGTCAAATTGCCTGGAACAGCCGCGTAAAAGTGCACCCAGCGCGCTTGTGTTATCCACGAAGGCGAGGATTTCAAACTCGCCAGGCAGATAACTCAGCAAAAACTTAAGCGCGCAGAGAGCCGCCATGAGCTCGCAAGTGCCGATCTGATTCTTCCGATGAAGCGCCCACTGCCTCGCCTCTGCTGGGACATCAGCAACACCCCAAGCCTTTAAACAGGGAGTTTGGATGACCCATGCCATCCGTCCTTGGCCTGTGGCGTCGGTGTAAAGGATGCAACGTTTTCTGGCGACGCATCACCGAGACGCTCCTCGATGGCGGTTCCTGTAAGAACCGCAGCCACCAACGCAGACAGAATTTGGTGCGCTGGGACAGCTGGCTCTGGTTGCCTGAGCCATGGTGGTAATGGCAGCAAGGTAGACGCGCGCGCCTCGGCCGAAGACGGCGGTCGCACCCCAGCTCAATTTGCCTGCTAATTTTAAAGCCCGGGCAGGCGAGAGCGATCTTCGCCGCAGAGCCTCCCGAATTTCTGCGGTCCATTTTTCCAATCTCTCTGCTTCGAGAGAAAACTGGATCAGCTGGTTGTGGCCGTCAAATTCTAGGCAGACTCCAAAGATTACGGTCTTAGTGACCTCCGTGACGGCTTTGCCGTGGTCGAGATCCCAGCCCAGCAGTTCTGACACGAGTGCTCTTGCCAGGCGCGCAGAGCCGGCGGGGCCGATTAAGCAGTCACTGCCAATATCGCGCCCCTCCAGGGCCGAATCGCCGGCGAACATATCGTCGACAAAACGCAAATATAACAAGTGAAACAGAGCGGGCGAAATGCCTTTAATGGCGAGACCGAAACGACCCCGACCGGACGCTGAGGCGGAAAAGCCTGATGGTAGGCACAGCAACTGTAACGCCGTACTGTGTGCCACTGCTTCTGGCCAAGCTGTCACTGCTAGCGGCAAGTGGCCGCTGCGAATCGGCAGTGTCTTAAAAGCATGCCGGAAGTCATCTTTCCTCCACCTCATGGCAATGTGTTGCTTGCCTGCTGCTGTGTGGCGCACTAATGCCACCAAAGTGTCCAGTGTGTCTGGACATGTTCTTTCGCTATGTACAACCGCGCCATTCACCGCAGACGCAGTGAAATCGTCTATGCAGCGAATTTTTGGCATTCCGTCTCTCTCTCTCTCTCTCTCTCTCTCTCTCTCTCTCTCTCTCTCTCCCCCTGCGCGATAGGGAAGCGAGCTGTTAACGCACGAGAATGTACGTCTAGGTTTCGGAAGCGGGCCTTGCCATCTTCGACCTGTTTTGAGCAGGTCGATAAACATTAAATCCTAACCCTCGTATCGCTGCCTTTTTCCGCGGCGATTCTACCGAGAGTCGCCTCACTCCGCTCGCGCGGATGTGCTAAAAGCGACCGCGAAGTCTCGGCTGGTTCCGGAGACTTGGCAGCGGGCGCGTGGATGCCACTAGCAGGCAGGCGCCCCACCAAAGGAAGCCATGGCAGAGGTTGTGAAACAAGGTATTATCTGGCCATGCTATAGCCTCAAGCATCTCTTTCAGCAGCGAAGGTTCTTCTCCGGACCCAGCACTGACTGACAGTGAGCTGGCAAACTTCTAAAGATTGTCTGCCACTGTGGGTCCGTCACGAGCTTCCGACGCTTCCAAAAAGCAAAAACAGATTGGCGAGCGGTTTGCAGCTCGGCAATGTGCTCTCGCAAAATGGCCGTTTAAAAATGTTGGCACGCGCGGGCTATCGTTGGCTGCAGTGGTCGCTCGGACCCAGGCTGTGCAAATCCTCGCGGGCGCTAAATGCAGAGAAAGCTGCCTGGACAGCTTCGAGTGGAGAATTTGCTGATTCACTTGACCTTGAACTGGTACCTGGAAGCGGTGACGCCTCCGTGTCATCTGATCCTCCCTCCGAGATATCACGGAGGGGGGGCTGCGAGACCTGTGCTGATAATCGGTGCCCGCCGTGCCCTTGGGGCGCTTGGCCGGCGACCGGACAGGCCGGTTGTCAGCCTCTGTGCCGTCGGAGCTCTTCTTGCTCCCCTTGCCGCCCTTGTCGGCGACGCCCTTGGCGCAGCCTTTGGGCTGACCCCTCGACTGCTGCCCCGTAGCTGTCACAGCCCGGCCAGCCTCCGTGAAGCTTTTGTTTACTTTGTCTTTGGCGTCAGCCAGGTTTTCACGATCGATCTTGGCGAAGTAAGGCGCCAAATCTACGACGTCTTCCTCCGGAGCCCTTGGCCATGGCCCTCCTCTGGGGAACATCGTATTGATAAGCTGTCCTGACTCCACCGTGCTCCTCGGCGATGCGGACGATGTTGTGGGCGTGCGCAAGGAAGTCAGCCATGCTGCATGCCTTGGTGAGGATTACCTTGAATCCCCACTCGTGCAGGTGGCCCATGAACGTGGCAAAGCCAACGTAGTCGACTTTGTCCATCCACGCCATGTTCCGCTTGGCGGCAGCGCTCTGCTTCACCCGCTCCTCGTAAGAGCCGCCCCCCACGACAGCGTCGATCATAAGAGTCCGGCTCCAAGTTGGGCGGTGGTGATCGCGCAGATCCTCGCCCTCAGCGAACCCGACCCAAGGCCTGCCTTTGTCGTGCACGATTTTCCCCGCCGCCTCGAACTTCGCGAGGACTTCCTCTGACGGGAATGCATCATTGGGGAAATGCTGCGTGCCCAGCTCGAGTTTCCGGTCGTGCAGCTTGAATCTGAGTTCTTTCGGCTTCCCTTTCTGCAGCGCCTGTGACTGCAGTTCCGCAAATTGCTTCACTGCTTCAGCCATGCCGGAAAGGTCTTTGTTGTTGTGGGCCACCTCTGGTGGCGCCGATGGTCCTGGCGAGGCTTTCTTCGCGCGCGCCCCCTGTACGTTGAGTGCCAAGACAATCTGTGCCGGCGAGACTTTCCAGCTCTTCCACGGGTCGTCCTGTTCCGTGGCATGCGGGGTGGCGTGAACGGGAATGCTCGCCTTGATCATGTCCCGCATGTGAGGGTCTTCGAAGTCGGCTGGTGCGATGCTGCCTCCCGTCTCGGCCACCAGCCGCGCGACAGGCGCGCAGTGGAAGAGATCGTGCTTCTTGGCGGGGTCGACGTCGACATTGATGACGAAGTCCGCCCACTCACGCACCTGATTTGCACCTGCGCCGTCACTGGCGGCGGTGGCGATCATCGCCGTGACGTCACTCGGAGAGAAAGACATCTTCCCTCGGACGACGCGTAGAATCAGATTGCTCTGCGTGCTAGGACACGAATCTGGAATTCAGACACCTTGTCTGAGCCATCGCGGTTAGGGTGGACAGCTGAAGGATCTCCCGCCACAGGATACCTGGCCTCTCTTCCGACGAGACAAAAAGGAGAGTTGCGTCAGGCATGGTGGGAGCAACCGTATTTCCGATTCCTCAAAAATGCAGGCAGGCAGCTCCTCCAAATATGCCTTCAACCAAGATTTCCCTTCGCAAACTCAATTCTGACGCCACTTGCTGTCGCCGCCAAAACACGCGACAGCAACCTGTGAGAGGCTGGGCAAGGTCTGAGCTGTGAGAGGGCAGATTGCCTGAGGCGTGGTCGTCTGAGCTAGTGCGGCAGAACGCACGAGACAAGAGACGACAACCTGCTAAGGCGCGGTCTGCACTGCGGGGCAAAACGTAGCCAGCGCTGATTGCGATGCTTATCCCCCTCCGCAGCCTGAGTGCACCACCCGAGCCTGCGGAGAGCGTCATAAGCGCGCCTGCCGAGCGCTGCGTGCGATGCTGCCCCAGTGGAGAACCTGCCTTGCCGCGCTGGCTCCCTGCAGCTGGACGGTGCTGGGATGCCGTCAGCGAAAGGATTCCCCTGACGCCACCGCGCCGCCGACGCGATTCAACTTTGTCGCCGCTGCCGCCAGAGGACACAGAGCAGATTTGAATGATGAGATGGATGAGTGAGCGCCCATCTTTGCGAGCGCGTCCCTGGACGCGGCGCGAAGGGGCTGGCGCTCGTCCTTCGCGACAGAATGCTGTCCGTCGTCGCGGAGCAGGCGAATCCGTCTCCAAACGGTTTCTTTCCTGGTTAGTGGTCTGGGTGACCCCATCCTTTATGTGACAGGGCGCGCCGTCTTGGCGGGCAACGCCGTCAAGGCGACGCGCTAGAGAGCGTGCGCAGCTCGACTGCGCGCTGTTGCAACGACGCGAATGTCAGCTTCGCCTCGGAGCTAAGGCAACAGGAAACGTAGCCAAGCAACTGCTTGCTGAGGCGCTTCCGACCCACGCTAATTTGGCACCTGTTTGGGGCCGAAAATCTTCCGAAATCCGATGGGCCGAGTTCCCATGGGAAATCCGTCCAGTTGCAATCTCAGCCGCCGTATTTTTAGCAGCCACACCAGAATTTAATTCTGAGTTCGCTGGTGAAAGGGCGTCAGCATGGATATTCTGATTGCGCGCCGTTTGGGACGCAGGCCCCCCAGGGTCGGTCGAGGACGGGCGTGCTGCGCAAATGCAAAGCACTCCCGCCCCCGTTGTGAGCAGGTGGGGGGTTCGCCAATGCAGGTGGGGGGTTAGCCAATGCCCCCCCACCAAGGACTAGCTTCTGCCGCCTGCACACATCCGACACCGAGTGCCCCAGAGTGTGTCCGTAGCCCCTGCTTCTGGCTCGCGCGGTCGGGACGGAGGTCGCTGCATCTTTGGTGCGCCTGGGCAATGCAGAAAGGAGCTAAGAATGCAATGTTCTGGGCGCTCGAACGCCCAGGAGCACTAAGTCGCACTCAGGTTGCGAATCTGGGTGGGCATGGGCACCAGGAAGCAAAAGGGGGCTCGCAATGCAATTTCGCGCGGACGCCCACGAGCGCTATTGTGCGCTCAGCTTGCGAATCTGGGCACGCCTGCGCAGTAGAACGCAGAAAGGCATTCAAAATGCCATTTTGGGCGCGCGAACGCTGAGGAGCGCTTTGCTGCGCTGAGATTGCGAATCTCAGCGCGCCTGGGCACCAGAACGCAGAAGGGACACAGAGTGCAAGTCTGGGCGCGCGGACGCCACAAGCGCTCAGGTTGCGAACCTGGGTGCGCCTGGAATCAAAACCCAGAAAAGCGCTCAGGATGCAATTTTTGGGCGCGCGGACGCCCAAGAGCGCTAAGTCGCGCTCAGATTGCGAGCCCGGGTGCGCTTGGGCACCAGAACGCAGAAAGGAGCTGCTGCCCGCCCTGCGGGCGCCGCCCCGCGCGGAGAGCGTTCGGTCACCAGAGAGCCTGAGAAGGCGGCCCCTGCCGACAAGCTCTCATGTACGTGCCTGCGAGGGAGCGGGCAGTGCCACAGCGCGACAGGCCGTCGCTCGTGCTTTGGCCTGGCTTGGCCCTGCTCCCCGCAGAGACCGAGAGCGACTCCTGTGGGGCGACCAGAACGGCAGACCCAAGAGACTAGCACCGAGGAAACTTCCGCCCCCGAAAATGCAAGCCGGCCCGCCAGGAACCGCTTGCCCGCGAAGCAGGCGCAGAGGCGTGTGAGCGGGAGCAGAGGAGGTGAGGCGAGCACGCTTGGGCCTGCTCCACATGATTTTCCTGTGCCGGAAACGAGTTTACGCTTCGTGAAAGCAGAGCAAGCCCCCCAGGCCGGCCCCGACCGCGCCCCAGCGCTCCAGGAGCCCGCCCAAGGGCAACAGCGCAGCTTCTGCGCAGTGGTGCACCAAAAGCCAGGAGAAGAAGTGGTCCAGCTGGCGAAGTGAATCGGCGTCTGCCTCCAGCGAGCCCTGTCGGAAGAGGGAGACCCCCTCGGCGATGCCTCCGGCGTGTTTAGCACCGGCGAAGGCTTCTCTGCTCTCTGTGGCGCTGTAGAGAACTTTTTAAGTGATCCTGGTAGATTAGCGGGCATGGACCCGTTTGCTCATTTAGACTGGGCGCTGCACCTGCCGCTGTGAACCGGGGAGTTTTCCATCCCTGAAGCGTCTAGATATGCAATTAATTGGCATTCAGCCGACCCTAGCGCACTGTGCGATGTGCGAGTTCAGGTGGCGCCAGTTCAAATACTGGAAGCACCGCCAACAGGTGACGGCGCTAGCGTGGCGCGACCAGTACGCGCGCTTGCCAGCGCACGTCCGTGCCATACTGGGGCCTGAGAAGAACTTGGCGTTGTTCTCCGAAATGCTGGAGGCCTCGGGCTCTCCAGACATTCACCTCGCAGCATCGCTCGCACAGGGTTTCCCTCTCGCGGGATACATCCCCCCGAGCGGCGCCATGTGCTTGAGCGACGCCGTTAGCCACACATCGCCAGAGGAGCTGTTGGAGGCAGCGCCAGGCGCCAACGCTAGCATCCTGCAGAGAGTCCGAGACGCACGCACAACGGACGGTCGCGTTGCAGAAGGCCTCGATGCCCGCATCCTGGCGGAGGTGGCGGCTGGACAGGCCGAGTGGCGCGATTTGCCATCGGATCTCTCGGGCGTGGTGTTGTCCCCTCGGTTGGCTGTGGACGAGGGCTGGCGTTTTCGCGATGGACAGTGGTCTCTTAAGGTCCGCGCCATCGATGACCTCACAGCTTCCGGGGTCAACGGCGCGACCACGGTCTCCGAACGCGTCGCCCACGAAACTCTCGATGATTTAGTGGCGGCGGCGCAGTGCCTCATCGCTGGTGGAGCCAGCGCAGCAGACGTCCGCTTCCGCAAGGATGACGAGACGTCCGCTTCCGCAAGGATGACGTCTGCGAGGCCTACAAAACTCTCCCGCTGCATAGTGAGCACCTCCCGTTCGCGGCCGCCGTGACGGCGGAGTCCGTCTCGCAGGATCAGTTCCTGCAGCTGTTCTGCTGTCCATTTGGGGGGAAGGCGAGTGTCCATGCCTGGCAGCGCGTGGGCGCGGCTTTTCAAGCCATACTTTTGCGTTTGTTTAGCATCGTGTATCCACGTTTCGTGGAGATTTTTTCGGCATTGCCAGTGGCGGGGCCGTGGCCGGAGATGACTTCAACGACATGAGTGTGCAGGAGCTTCGGGACGTCTGGCCGTGCCTCCGAGAGCTGGCCAGTGAATTCCGGGAGGCGCTCTCCCGTGGCGCCGCCGGCAGGGCCCTCCCAGGGCAGCGGCGGCCCGAGCGGTGAGGTCGCATCGCCTTTGGTGGAAAGCGCCGCGCCCGCAGGGCCAGAAGGGGGCGATGCTGAAGCTGCCCTTGCTGCTCTTGGCTTCCTGGCCGCAGCTCGCTTTCGGAGGACTTTCCTGGTGCCCAAGGACTTGGCCGACGCGGTGCAAACGCTGGGCCGCGTTACGCCTGAAGAGCTCCAAGTGGCGTGGGCTCGGCGTCGCGGAGGCGCAGGGGGCAACCCGAGAGAGCGTGCTTTGCAACTGGTGGGCAATATGTTTGAGTTCGCAGCGACGCAGGAGCTTTTAAGACGAAAGCTCTGCGGGTGGCATCGGAGTGCTTACAAGTATGCGTCCGCAGTGCGGCTTTGGGGCCAGGTAGCCAAGGGCCTCGGAGTGCCGCCGTGGCCGCCGACAGACAGCGTGCTGGGGGCCTTTGCTTTCGCAGTGCAGAACGGCAACACGCTGATGACGTACTGCACCCAGGTCCGGGCGGCCCTGCGGTTGGTCCGGGTCCCTCTGGGGTGTTTGGAAGACACCTCAAGTCTGGCACGGGGGGCCGCCAAAACGGGGCCCGGCACGAGCCGCTTTCGAGCGCGGGCCAGTGCGCGCGACACCCGCAGCGTTGCTGGCCACGTGCGGGAGGTGCTCCGGGACCCTCTGGTGGCGGATTCCTTCGTGGTCGCCAGACACTTCTGTCTCCGTTTCGCGTCGGAGGTGGTGCCTCTGGAGTACGACGGGCCGCGCTCCAGTGTCGTGCTCGCAGTCGACGGGGGCTTGCCCAAGGCGTGCGTCTACTTGCACAAGCGCAAGATGCACACAAAGACAGTGGTGGTGACGAGGCGGTGCATCTGCGCTCTCCAGTCGCGGCAGCTGTGCGGGGTGTGCGTCCTGCAGCGCCGGGCTGGGCGGGGGCGCCTCTTCCCTGGCCTGTCCTACAGGGCGGCTCTGGCCACGCTGAAAGCAGCGGCGCTGGCGCTCGGCTTCGAGCGCGCGGCCGAGTGGGGCACGCATGCCTTCTGCAGAGGCTGGGCGGACGATTGTTTAGCGGCGGGCGGCGTGCCAGCGCTCTTCCACAGTGGAGGCTGGCGTGGCGTCGCTGCGTTCGGCTACGCCTCTGCCGCCTCCAGAGACGCCAT